CAGTGAGAAGTTTGCAGGGCAGTGCCCACGACATATATATTTCTGGCTGGGAGAAGCTATGGTTTTACAAGCTAATTATTATATAACAAGTTGGCTTTCGTTAGCTAGCTGGGAAGTTAAAACAGCAGGTTCAGAAAGATAAAGTGTGCATCCACGTGTACATTTTAAAAACTCTGATTACAAACAACAGTTTGAGAGAATGGAAAAAAAAACAAGTTAGAAAAAAACAGTTTATTAAGTAATATCATATAAATAACTTGTTACAAAAATTGATCTGCAAAAGGCATTTTTACTCTTTGTGAGAAATCACTTTTTAAATTGCATTCTTTGCAAATGTATACGTCTAAGAGAACAAAGGGAAATCAGAGAAGCCGTTTCAAGGAGCGTGTACTTGCCATTGGATTACAAGAGGCCCGGCCACAGTGAGCTGGAAGGTAGTGGTCTCACCCCTTCCTTCTGATACAGAAAACTTGCTCATGTAACCTGTGACGTCTGAACCTCTCCCTAACTAAGAATGTTGATGAGAGCTGAGCAGCGATTGTTTCCATCCGGTGTTCTCACTGCCGAAGACACGAGCAATACTGAGAAAAATGATATGAACCGAGCACTCCAGCCAGTAAATCTTCAAGGGTGGCATCGGCTTCACTTTGTACTTGGGAGTGTTTTTAATTAAAAACAATCAATACCCGAAAGCTTTGATTTTTCTGGGTTGAAAAATCACAAATCACAGTAGGAGAAAGCCAAATTGCCTTAGCTCGATACTACCGAAGACGCATGTAGCATTTATTATAAGGCCTATTCTTATGCAGTGTACTTTCAAAGCAATGAAAATAATCACAAACAAAAGAGTACAGTGGTTTAGAAGCGTTCCTATGTTTCTTCCGAGAAGATCAGTTTTACGTTTGCTACACGGCATTCCCCCTGGATGCCTAGTAATTCTATACATTTGATTCCTTAATAAACACTAAACTAATAGATCATAGAAAACTAAAAGCTTATCGAAGGTGCCTCTAGACATATTTACATGAATAGCACAGTCTTGCAGGAAAGACCAAGATCTCATTATAGTGGAAAGCTTTTTCCACAACGCTGGGTTCATGCCTCATTTGTCAAATTAACCCCATTTGAAGAGAAATTTGAGTTTGTGGTCCATGGGTTTTCAAAAAAAAAAGAAAAAAGGAAAAGAAAAAGAATTAAGTAATTCATAAAAGCTCTTTTGAAATTAATCTAATAACTCAGTGGCTCTTCAGCTAAGTGCCTGGGTCCTGACTGAGACAGTGGGTAAAAGGCTCTGTTTCCATCTGACCTCCTTTCGGCACTTTCATCTGCTGGCTCTGGTCGGGCTAATGTTCCCCCCAAATTAAAAAATGAAAATGCATCATAAATAAGGTATTACAAAATGGGGAGTAGATTAAAGATTGTCTCAGCAATGCTTAAATTAAATTGACGATGCAGAGACCATAAATGTGTGGCTTTAAAAATGAGCTATTTCTTTATTAACTTTTAACAAGCGTGCAAGTCATTGTATTTCTTTTCTAAGAGGGTATTAAATATGGTCAGGGTCTGATATATTTTAGTAGAGAATTATCCCTTCAGAAAATTATTCCATAAAGATGCCAGAGGGAGATTCAAAATGCTGCACTGTAATAGCACTGAACTTTTCAGGAGACCATACGGGGATCCTGTATTCTCTGGAAAACAAAACTGCCTGTCAGACCTTACAAAAGAGTTCATCCTCCGGAAGATCCACACACAACGCCTTGGTCTTTCCCCTCTTACAATCTGATAAAGAAGGCTGACTTGTAGTGTTAATGTAAACGCAGTAGATTTTTCATCCCCTGTCACAATTCAAAAAAGATTTCATCTAGATAAAAATATAAAAGACAAAATTACACTAACATGATCCTTTTCAGAGGATGCCTTGCAAAATAGTGGGGTCATGACTTTGTGGAGTGTTCTTCCAAAGTCATTACACTACTTCAAAATTAGTGACTAAGATACAGTAATTTATTTGGTGGTGAATTTCCTGGGGAAAATACATTTAGCGATACCTGATTTAAATATTTGGTTTGTTCTCAGGATTCCACTCTGTTCTTTCCTTTCAACTGCATAGTCTTTTTGGTCCTTAAGTATATAGAACTGAGGAATGCCCAATCATAGGGTATACATTATTATCTCCAATAAAATATGCATTTCAAGATAAAACATTTGATATAAGGCCTTGTTCAGCAAAACAGGCTAACTAAAATTTATGTACTTAACAATAAAAATAATGGAAACATTCTGAAATTTATTTGGATCCAAAAAGTTGAGATGCTTCTAGGATAAAGATTCAACTTTAAGAACTTTTTCACAACTTTTTGGGAGCTGAAAATGAAAACTCAACCACAAGTTTTTATACTGTGTTAAAATTGAATAGAAAATAGAGTTGCCCTAGCTGGATAGAGCATCGACCTATGGACTGAAGGGTCTTCAGTTTGATTCTGATCAAGGGCACATGCCTGGGTTGTGGGCTAGATCCCCAGTGCAGGAGGCGTGCAGGAGGCAGTCAATCAATGATTCTCTCTCATCATTGATGTTTCTATCTTTCTCTCCCTTCCTCTCTGAAATCAATTAAAAAAAGCCATATAAAAAACAAGCAAACAAAAAAGAAAATAGAATCAATTTAAATCTGAACCTCCCTTTAAGCACCTCAACTGTAAAACTAAAATAAAGCTCTGTAAAAAAAATATTTACTGTGCCTAGATCACCTCTTTTATGGTTCTATGGAGCCATCTTTTCTTCTCCCCCATTAGATTTAGTTTTTTTATTTGGGGACAAATATATTCTAGGCCTTTCAGGAGAAAGTGGCCATGAAGTGAAGGGGCTTAAATGTATGCACAATGGCTGAATGTGTTTAAAATGTCAGCTTACGCCAGTGAACATCTTTGTGGTTTAAAGAAATTCTTGGGGGTAGGGGGCTCAGAAAGACCTCAAAGTTCCTGAAACAACCCATAAAAGCAATCTGCTTATATTAACTGAATTTTAGTTTCTTAGTAGTTAAAGCAAATATTAAAATTTTACCTCTTTCTATTTTTCATACTTCTCATCACAAACATCTAATATCAGGACAGAGACAATGTGAAAAGTGAGCTGAAAAATCTTAATTTTTTTCTCTCCAGTGATCAGTTGTGTTGCCCCTGGTCCTTGACCTGATGTTTTGGTGGGAAGGAAGTTAGACCTGGGTGAAATAATGAGATTGTGATTCTTATTGTTTCCATGATGTCAAAGAGTCTTAATGGTAGGAAAATAGTGCTCTGCCTTGATGCTCACAGGACCCTACTGCTAAATATTCAGCTCCAGTCTCAAATTATCCAATTTCTTAGACATTCACTTCATCATCAGCTTCAGTGGTAAGAGATTAAATAGTTATTTCAATATTTAGTCATATTCACCTGATCTTGGTACACTGACTGTATCATCTTTAGGATGGGATAGAATAGCTGCCCAATTACAGCTCAAATACTCTCACTTATGAGGAAAGAGTAAACCTTACCCTTAAATATTGGAAGTTGCTAGTGTCAGCCCTCAGACTTTCCAATTAATGCCAAAAGTTCGAAAGGAAGACTTCTGCTGATAGTTTTCTTTTTATAGAACTTTCTTGATTCAATTTGTTACATGACATAAAACATTATGATAGGAACTCTTTAATTTTACAGTAAGTCATGTGATTAAGGTGCTGGTCTATTGCTATAGATAACTAATTCTTAATAACTTTACTAAGCTACCTTTTTCCAGTGCTTACCTATGACTATGATATGTGTCACTTCATTACAAGGAAACCCTCCTGTAGTATTTTGTTTGCATTCCTATGTGTGTGTAACTAGGAAAAGAAAACCATAAAAGCAGTAAATCAGCTAGACGTGAAATACTTGTTAGTATACAGGGAAGTACTTTACAAAATAGGAAAATATTCAGGAAACACAAGGAATAACATGGTTGTAAAAGTTTTTCACTCTAAATGGGTAATCCAAAACACTACATATCTCTAATTTTAAAGGTGCCATCTTTACTTCCTGGGTAATATCTCTATTTAAAACTTAACTAAATGACAGTGTGTTTCCAAATAAAAATTATGTGCTGATATGACATTATCCCCAAATGGATATGACACTAAGATTATCTGTAGAAAATTAGCATTAATTGAAAATAAATCTCTAAGATTAATAATTGAAGTCAGCATATTCTTAAGATATATTTGTTTTTAAGTTTTCAAAATAAGGATGTTTTTATTACAGTACTTTGGAAATTTCTGATGACTGCCCATGAAGATTCTAATGATAAAAGTCATTAGAACAGCCACATGAAATAAATGATTTGAACCTGCCAAAAGGAATAGTTCATTTCGGTTAGGTCTTCTGGATAATAACTATAATGCTAATTGCATAATTAGAGAAATAATAAATTTGGATGGATTGTACATTATCTTCTGTCATCATTTGAGACCATTACTTTATCATTGTTCAAAGACAAAGAGAGCAGAGTTGCCATGGAAATAAAGTTAAAAACAATGAAAAAATATTAATGCTTTTGAAAGCCAACTATCATTTTAATTATAATCTTAAACACTCTTGTTGTAGGGAATCCAACTTTTCCCTTTGTAAGCATCTTCCAAGCATGTCATATGTAGGTTTTCACCATGATTTCAACGTTCATCTACATCTATCACATTATATAAATATATAGGTGTTTCCGGATGTGAAGGACAGGGTGTCAGGTTCAAGTGTGACTAGCTCTTACCACCCCATTAAACTCTGAGAGTGGGATTTAAGTTTTATTTAATCTACCTTTACTAATGCCACTTAATTTAGTAAGACGTATCTGGAGAACATGGATTATTGTACCTCACACTGCTACTTTCAAGTATATATTAGAATAATACTGACAACAACTACAGACAAGAAGTTAAAATTTATCTCAGAAAAGTTCCTTCAAGAACTTTTTAACCAATTAGACTTACTTGTAATTAACCTACTGACGGTTGGAAAAAATTCAAGTGATCTGTGGTACATTTGGTGGCCCAGATTTTAAAATATGCTAAATATCTCCTTTGTTAATATTATTAGCTATTTTCAATTTTCCCTTCTATGGTACAAGGGCAAACTTTTACATGGCTAATATATAACAAATTATGAGTTAGTGGTAAGGAATGAGGTCTTACTTATTTTTATTTTTTTTGGTTGTTTTTGAATGTCGCTATTTAATTTGCTCCTATTCCTTCAGAGGAATGAGAATCTCAAAACATTGGTGGATATCATGCTTAGAATAGTCACAGGTGTCAGAAAAAGTTCTTGAAGAACAAACAGGATGGGCAAATGTCATCTTAAATTCATTGCGACAGAAATACACACCCATATATATATAGTTCGTTGTCTCCTTGTGAGCTGATATACCGGGAACAACTTCACGGTCGTTCCTCCCTTATTTCTTTTACTAAAACTATATTTTATCCTTAAAGAACAGTCCTTCATCCCGTTAGCATCGAAAGGTGGAGTCAGAGCAGTCAGCTGACCTGAGTCGATGGGTGGAGTACAGAAGGCCAGGCCGGTGGGATGAACGTGGTCCAAACTTCCCCCAGGGGCGCGGGGGCACGTCCTGCTCTCCATCCTCTCCTCCAGCACGGTGCCTGCGGGGCCGACGTGGTTAACTGGATGCACTAAAAAATAAACATTTGCCTCTTGGAAGCTCATAAAAGTGTACTAGAAAAGGGTCTCTGCCATCGGAGCCACACGCCTGCAGCCATGGACTTGTTGAACCGGGCGGGACAGGGCACCCTCCAGGGAGCAGCGGGTCCCTGGGAAGAAACAGCCAGGTCTCACCGTTGAGCATCCTACCGTCCAAAGGGAAAGGCAACGGATTAGGAGTCCTTGTCGCTGTCGGCCCCTCCGTACAGGTCTGCGAGCTTCTTGAAGCGAGGGCCCCAGTCACTAAGGTAATCGTAGTCCTGGTCTCCATCCGTGGTCACCGACTCCAGCGAGCTCAGGGAGTCGGCCACCGAGCCGGTGCCCTCGTAGGCGTAGGTGGCCAGGGAGTCGTAGGGCGGGGCCGTGGGGTCCGTGTCATTTTCCTTCAGCCTTTGGTTAATGAAATCGCGGACGTCGGTGTTGTCCCGGGCGGCCGGAGTCCGTCGGGGTAGGAAAAGGGCTTCGGGCACAATGTCCCGGCGCAATTTGCTGTCCTCGATGGCCTCGGGGTTCCGCAGGGTGCCGATGTCAAAGGCCTGGGTGTCCTCCTCGCCGCCCCCCTCGTCGTTGTAACTGACAACATTGTCCCTGATGTCCTCTTTGGAAATGATCAGAGGCTCCTTTTTCCGCTGCCGCCGCAGAGCTGCGAACAGCGCCACGGTCACTGGAAGCAGAAACAAAACAGCAAGGGAAGGGGGGGTTAATGTGCCACCCGGTGCCAGCCCGGAGGGAAGCCCGGGCGCCCAGGGCAAGTTTTAAAAGTCCTCTAGGCAAGTGCAGCCTCAACCTTTACCTCTTTAAGCGCGCATCTGCCTTCGTGCAGGATCAAAGCAGGGCCCCAGAGACACGGAGGAAATATTTGAAAGAAGGGCACCATTTCAGCAGAGGCTAAAACATTGCCAGGTTCTGTCAGTAGGTCCTTTTTTGCTTTGAAATAACGGACTGGTTTCAAGGGAAGGGAATAGAGAAGATGCTAATAGACAGAGAAAGCTCAGCCGGAGTGAGAGTCGGGCAGGGAGAGTGCAAATTATGCTGAACCCCGAAACGCTCCGAGTCTGCTTAAAAGCACGAGGCTGGCACCTTCCCTGCGTGCGGAAGGGCTTGCAGAACTCCACATCCAAAATAACTTTTGCACTGTGCTTTCTTTTTTGTTTTCTTGAGAAGAGTGTAAAATTAGTTTCAAACCCAAAGTAGAGATGTGACTATTTGCATACCTCTCCCACATCTGAGGCAACATTACAGATAATACCTGGAGAGACCCAGATACAATTCCGAAAGCCACTTTGGATTTCAGCCCATTTGAAGGGGTCAGGTCATACACATGCCAGATTATTTCTGTTCAAGCTAAACAAAATGCACACATTTAAGTGTGGATGAAAAAGAAAATCTTTCAAAGATTCATGTTCTGCAAGCTTATTGCCTGGATATTCAGTCTTTTGATTTTTTCCCCTCCTAAGTCAAATTAGAGATGAAGGAAGAGTTGTGTTTAAATAGCTCCTGATGTTTCTTCCCAGCTGGCTGGCTAGAACACAGCTGGCTACCTGTAGAGACGCACATCTGCGAATGGACATCTGGGTGGGAAAATAAAAACATAGCAACAGCACAGAGAGACAACAGCTACCCAGGGAAGAACATGCCTCGTTAAACTGGGTTTGTGCAGGGGACTTTATTACAGGAAGTACCAGTAACATCTCTTTATTCTGTCATCCATAACATGGTCCCATTTTTAAATAAGCCATGAAAATTGAATTATCGCATTAAGAACACAGACAGCAGTGTGGTGCTTGCCAGAGGGCGGGGGGTGGGGGAAGAAAGGTGTCCTAATATGAGGTGACAGGAGAAGATTTGACTTTGGGTAGTGAGCACATGGTCCTATATGCAGATTTTGTAAATTAGTAATCCACACATGAAACCTATATGTTCATGTTGGCTAATGTCACCCCAATAAAATAAAATAAAAATAAAAGAATGATTGATGAATATTTGTATCTACCTATATAATAATGGATACATGCACACATTGTGTCTATACATTAACATTTTAGATGTTAATAGTATTGATAATTGGTTACCTATTGAGAGAGTTCTATGTATCCAGCACTGGGCTAAGTGCTTTACATACTTATCTCATTTAATTATCATAATAGCCCTACAAAATAGGTACCATCATTATTAATTCCATTTTACATAGAGGAAGTTACATAGAGATGTCACATGTACAAGCAGTTGAAATCCAGGTCAGCCAAACTACAAAGGCCATACTGAACCATGCTTTGACACATGTTTGGATTATAGACCATTTCTCAAGGCTATGCAATTTTGCCTTTTTCAAATGTGTGGTTGTATACATTGTCTTTTGCTGCCAGAGAGTATTCTGATGCCTCATTTGTCATGTCCATTCAGGGTATTTATTTATTCATTCATTCAATAAATATTTATGTAGTGCCTACTCTGTGTCAGGTTCAGGTCTTGGCACTATCAATAAAAAAATTGATCAAGGCCTAATAAGGTGGGCAGGTGGTGGTGGTAGAGGAGACAGAAAAGAAACCATGTGCATAACAAATACGGAAAGTACTAAAAAGGTGATAAGTAGAGTCAGGAGGATGGGAGTGCTTCCATGCATGTTTGAGGGGCTATTTATTTTGGGGGTAGATTGCATCATTGAGAAAGTGACATTCGAGCAAAGACATGAAGAGTTATCCAAGGAGCTCTCTGGTGAAGAGGTTAGAGGTAGAAGGCCCTGGAGAGAGAGTGCCTGGAGTGTTTGAGGAATAGCTAGGAGACCCTGTGGCTGGAGCAGCGGGAACCAGGAGAGGAGAGCAGTAGGGAAGGGCCACCTCATGTGGGGTTGTGGGTGCTTCTGCATGCCTTCACTTTACTTTGGGGTCTGGGTAGGTAGAAATTGCAGGGCTTTGGGCAAAGGGATGCTCACAATCTACCTTTCTATACTGCCTTGCGGTGTGACCAGTGACATGGATTTGCAAAACAGAAGGTTGTGAATAAGAGCAGCCTTTGGGATTAAAGAATAGCATCAAGCTAACTCACTCTCAAAAAATTAAACTCTGATATCCATGGGTTTGTTCCATTATTGAAGGCAGGCATTTATCACTTCCTAATTCTTCCCCAGCTTAAGCTACCTACATCTTTTATTTTAGTCCTATGTGTACCTAAAAGTGCAGCTGTCTAGGAGAGAGAGGGCATATCCAGTCATTCAAAAGCATTTATTCACTGCCTAATTCTCCTACAGCTTCCACTGCCTAGATCTTTTCTTAGTAGCCTGAGGCACATCTGAACAGAATTTCTTGATAGTATAACTGTCAAGAAGAGAGAGCTTTCCAAAGCTAACTTTTATAAATGGAAAACGTGTGATCTAAGCACACAGAGCAAAAAAGTTCTGAGAGAGTAATTGACCAAGGAGGTGCCCTTCCCAGTCCTCTGAGCCTCCCCTTCCCTACTCCCTTTGGGCAGAAGACAGTAATAACATTATTTTGGAGGAGGAGACCTGTGGACAAAATTGTGCTCAAACCCCACCTTATAACTTAGAAAGTAGCAAGGCATTGGGATCAGGTTTACTTAAGGGATTTGACTTGTCTAACTCTGTTTCCTTCTCTGAAAAGAGAAGCAATATCGTAACGCCCAATGTTGTCGTCAGGAATGAGTTAATTTATGTGAATGTTTTGCAAACTCTAAAGGGCCATAGAGACACGAAATGTAGCGGTTGTTTTACTGTCTGTTTGTTTTTGTAAATAAAACAATAGTTGCCACCTGACCCACTTTCTTGACTGCAGATCCCCTCCTATTTGGCTTTCCTTCTCTTATAAACTCTCAGGTTTACTTCCACTTTCTTCCTCTGTCGCTTCACTTCCGGCTCTCTTTCAGCTACAGTGGTCGGCAAACTGTGGCTCGTGAGCCACATGTGGCTCTTTGGCCCCTTGAGTGTGGCTCTTCCACAAAATACCACGTGCGGGCGCGCATGTACAGTGCAATTGAAACTTCGTGGCCCAACTTCGTGGCCCACGTGCAGAAGTCGGTATTTTGTGGAAGAGCCACACTCAAGCGGCCAAAGAGCCGCATGTGGCTCGCGAGCCGCAGTTTACTGATCACTGGACTAGAAGTTACCTTGCATTCCGTAACTTCACAAAGAAAGCAGAGTGCCACGTGGAAGCACAAGGCTCATGGGGACAAGACCTGAGTTTGGAACTTAGTTCTGTCACCTGTTAGCTGTGTGACTGCACATCTTGGAGCCTCAGTTTTCACATTTAAGATGCAATGAATATATTGCCAGATGGGGCAGAGGTTTAAGTGAGAAAAAAAACACATTTGGAAAGTATCTTGCTCAGTGTCTAGCTCATGAAGTGAGCCTAGTTAAAGGTTAAATCCCATTTTTCTTCTTTTTTAATGAGTATAGAATGCTGAAGAGATTAGACAAGATGTGGGAGGCACTGAGGCAAATTAGAAGTAATGAGGAGATAGCGAATTTAGTGGAGGGAAGGGATGGAAACGGAGGGTAAAGGAGGCTGGTCAAGAGGAAGAAAAGGGGAAGGAGAAAGTGGGTAGGTGATGAGGGAAAGGAAGAATCACCTCTAGAGATGAGAATTGCTCTCCTTCCATAGACCATAATAGAGTCCATGGAATTCTACCTGCCCATCCAGCCCTTCTGAAAATAACTTCTTTAAAGAAATAAAAAATTAGAACTATTCTTATTCTTCTCTTCCAAAACAGTTTTTACAGGCTCACCATTAGGAGCACTGATCTGTCTTTGCATCCTGTCGTTTTTATTTATCCTCATATCTTAAAATACTTTCCCCAAAGATTAGATGACAAAGAGAATCACAGCACAGTTCTGTAGCTGAGTTTCGAGGCTTCTGTTATAATTAGCTAAGCTGATCTGGAAGGTGAAGCTCTTGAGCAGAGATCCCTAGGCATTCTCATTCTCTTAGAGAAATGTAGGTCTTACTTTGCTCTTCTCAAAGTCACTGTACTGTCACCCCTCCCCCGCCGCCTCCCGCCACTCTCTCCGGTAACCAGGTTAACTCTAAGTTCTTACTTTTCTTTTCCCATTGTGTAGCAAGCTATACAAATCGAAGTTTTATTTTTGGAAGTGTTGCATTAGCTAATATTTTATTTCTTAGTTCACAACAGTCAAGGTGCTGCTGGATCACTTCGAGCTCAGCTTATGTGCTTAATCTGTTGGTCGGGGGTAAAAAATTTCATTTGAATTATTGTTATACCTTGATGCTTGCTTTTCTTACATTTATATCTTTTAGGTCCCAGGTTTATTTTCTTGGTCACAGAAGTTCTTTATTATCGAGATTCTGAGAAATAATAGATACTATGCATGGCAATTATAGAGCGATGCTAAGAAGGTTGTTATTTAAGTGGGTTTAGGTTTGCTGAGTTAGAGAAAATTTATTTGCTTTTTGTTTTCCTGTATGAGAGAGAAAAAGTCATTGCATTCCTCTTTCCAGTTTCCCATTGATTTTTACACTTGACCTTCATAGAATGGGCCTTCGTCAGATACTCCATGTCAGATGACTTCCATTCTTTAAAATTTAACAATGTTTGTCAGGTTAAATATTAACCAACAAATGAAACGAAGAGGGTATATTTATGCTGCCCTTATATCCCCCGGAGATTCAGTCCCAGTCTGATAGGTAAGAGAATCTTTGGTGCAGTGGTTCCCTAGGTAGGTAAAAACACGGGCAAGTTCCACATCTGCTCATTCCCCAAAGCCATAGTGAAGCAAAAGCTAGTTCATGGTGGAACAACACAGATTCTCAGCATATAACTCTACTCACCTAGATTAGGCTGTATGCCTTAAGTGGGGAGGTGGCTAGAGTGTCACAGTGAGAGAGTGTGCCCCTCAGCATGGGGAGAGAGGATGCAGGGAGAAGCAGTTTACCTAGTAGGATCACGATGCACAGCAGGATGGCCACCAGAGCCCCCGTGCTCAGGCCCGTGGGGTGGACGAGGGCCTCCGCGTGGCAGGACTGCATGTTCCCATGGTGGTCACATGCACAGACCCGGACAGTCACTGTCCCCGTGCTGCTTTGCACTGGGTGGTCATTGTCTGAAATGACCACAGGCAGGAGATAGGTGCTCATCTCGTGTCTATTGTAGCCATTTTTCCGCGTTAAGATTCCCGCTGTGTTGTCTGGAACAGGAAAGCAAATTGGTGAGTGCATGTGGATACCGCCTCATGTGGTGGATCAATTGGGAGGGGAATAGAGGGATGTAGGTACAGGGGTAAGTATAGAGATAGAGAAAGTCACGTGGGCTCATTTACCTTTATTGTCATGGATGGTAAAGTTGGAGCCACTGGCTGCTTCCGGGGCCAAATAGAAGGAGAATTGGTGCCCGCTCTGAGGGTCATCCTTGTCAACAGCTCGGAGAGTCTGAATCAACTGAAACCCAAACCACAGAGCTGTCAGAAAGTTTTGTAACTCAACGTGTTTCCTACAGTGTTGCCGTAAATTGCTCTAGTTTTAATTTAAAAAATGATAGCCTCTATAAAGTTTACAATGAGTCCATTCTATGCAAAGAACTGATGGGCTGGAAATAGCTATAGCTAATCCTGGCAGTGAGGCTGTCCTGTAGGAAGTTAGCAGCAAGCCTAGCCTCCTCCCACTAGATACCAGTAGCACCCTCTTCCTTGTGATGATAGAAAATGTCCCAGACATTGCTAAATGCCCCCGGAGGGACAAAAGTCACCTGGGTGGAGAAACATCAGCTCTAGGGTGATACAAAGCTATACAATATCACAGTGATCTGTGACAACATTGTAAGGTAAGAACATGGAGGCAACCGGTGGCCAGCCCGCTGAGAAATGCAATCTGGGCATATACAAAAGCCATCAACTTGCAAAAAGTTGAAAAGAAAATTGGTACATAAAACACATAACTTCAGCTGCCCACGTTAGCATGCATTTTAAAAGTGCACTTCTATTTTGACAAACTGAAACATAATTTCTATGTCACTGGCAGAAAAGACCTATTTCAGATGGGGACATGTGTAAAGCACTCATGAATGTGTATTACTTGTACAGATGGGCAATGTAAGTGAGGGGAACTATGCAGCATGGAGTTTGTAAAATATGTTCTAGCGATTACTTTCCAATATGTATGGTAATTAAAACTATCTGCTTACCAATAAAGATTTTCCCAATAAAGCTGTGACTAATCTACTTTAATGAAACCTTAAGGCTGATTTGGAATCAGCATCAGACTTTGAGGCTGATGAACTTCCAGTTCTTAAAAAGTGTTTGTTCTCTTATGCAAGTTAAACATTCAGCCTGCTTCTCACCTATAGTATTAACTTTGTTAGCATTCGCTTCATAGATAATTCAAAACTGGCCCTTGGTTCTGTTTATCATCTGAATTATTAGAGGATCTAAATTAACCCAACTAAATTAATTTACTTTCGTATGAAACTCACCTGATCTGCTTTTGCCTTTTCACAGACAAAGGTTTCATAGAATTCAGCAAATTCTGGGGCGTTGTCATTGACATCTAGAACTTTAATATAGAGAGGTACTCGGCTGCTCTGCTTTGGATTATCTGCAACATGCCAAAATGAAAGGAAGAGACATTTATATGTTGGTCACCAGTGCCTTTTAGACAATAGTCACTCACTCCTTCTTCCTCATTCATGCACAGACTCCCCAAGGCTGCTGTGAGTACCAGAGAGCATTCAGTACCAATGTAGTCACAAAAAAGTAGAATTAGATCGTTTGGTACTTCTGGTCCATTAGGTACACCTGAGGGAGATACCTGGGAGACACAGGTACATGTGTTGATGGAGTATAACTGGGTAATAAACATCAGAGTATAGAGAAAAGCCACCCTACAGAGGCCCTTTAGAGCCAGATTTTAAAGGAAGCCAGGGAAGCAGGCAGGTGTGGAAATGTGGACAAGGGGTCATGGCGGGGGCGGGGTGGGGGGGATGAGTGATTGTTATTATCTTAGTTTTTTAGTGTGAGTGCTGAATAAGAGCTGGGCATTGTGCTAAGCACTTGGCTACATTATCTTCCTTAATCCGTGCAAATTTCTGAGACTACTGCCCCCCTTCCATAGGTGAGGAAACGGAGGCACAGAGAGGTCAGGTAATTTGCCCAGAGACAGTAAGGAGTAGAGCTTAGATTCAGATTGGGGTCTGTCTGACTCCAACGCCCAGGCTGTTCATAGTGTACAATAGAGCAGCAAAACACCCTGGTTATCTTCTATGACAATCTCCTGGGTAGTGTAGTAGACAGGTTCCTGGTCTACGAATCAGAAGTCGGAGTCTCTAACCTCAGCTTTCTTCTTTCACTTTGCTCATATGTCTATTTGTTCACTCACTTGATAAATATTTAGGGAGCATCTAATATCGAATTTGTGCCAGCCACTATTTGGAGTGCTGGAACACATGGGGAACCCAACAAAGATCCTGCTTCCTGAAGCTCTATTCTAGTGCGGGTAGCAAACTGTGAACGTATAAAAATATAATGTGTCAGATGGTAAATGCTATGGAGAAATTAAACAGGGAAAAGGAGTTGGAGAGAGATGGATGTGTTACTTTGAATGGAATGACCAGGGATGGCTTCTCTGATGAGATGCCATTTGTACCGACATGAATGAATAAAAGGATTAAACCATGTGAATATTTCTGGCTCTCTGGATAGAGGACATAGCAGGTGCAAAGGCCTTGGAGTAAGAGTAAGTGACCTGGACTTAAGCTCTTGGTTTTGCATAAACAAAGGTAGTTAAGAAGGGCAATTTTTAAGCTCCTTTGTGTCTAACATTTTGCTCTCACTATTCTTCCAGAGTTAGAGCTGCTGAAGGTAAAGTTTTGAAAGGTCTTTATCACTAGTGATTTCAAATATATCGTAGAAACTGTAAATCTTAAAAACAGAACATTTTAGGCACAAAGCTTAAAAAATTCCTGATGTTATAGAAAAATGGTACTTTTTGGTGGGAAATGATTTCATAATTTCAAAGCCTTAAATGTGCCCTATCATTGATATCCACATTAGTCCCTCCACATAAATTCTGAAGAGCAAATACTGCCATAACAAATTTATAATGAGGAGTTTTCATCGCTATCAAAAAACAATGCTTCATTTTACCCATATTGGTTATTTATTTTTCCACTCAATATCCTTCAGCCACTCAAATATCATGTTATGCTGACAAAGAATGCTACTGTAATATACCATTCGATATCACACCAGACACCCAACTGAGTTAAATTTTTTAAAATAAAATTTTTATACAAAGTAAAAAACCAAAAACTAAAAAATATGCCATAATTTAGTAGAAGCCTATTTTTAAACATTTAAGTAATATTTTTCAAGATCATTTTTTTCATGCATTTAGTCCTACACATTGTGTTTACATTGCGCAATGTTCACTGTGTATAATCATTTTATTTGAAGCCTTCCTTTGGCACTGATTTTCTTTGCCTTAAATTTCATAGCAACTGCCATAAAATTCATCCTAAACACTTTATTGTGCTGCTCATTTGGTGTACCATGGGAAAGTTAAAATTTATATCTCTTAATTCTGTAACAATTGAAAAATAGAAAATTAGAGGATAAATATCCAAGAAATTTCCAAACAATGCCTACTTTTTAGAGTGTATTTGATCCCTCCATCCCCCGCGCCCCCCACACACAATGTCTAACCATTTTATGCAGCTCATTTTTTTTTAGCTCCTTCTGAAATATTCTGGCTTATAAGCTTTTTGAAGTTGAATCCAACATGTACCAGTTCAACCCCAGCTGACACAGATGCTTTCCCATTTTATTGTTTCTAAACTGCTGAATTTCCACAGTTGCATTTGTGAATGAACCAACATATGTCTAGAGGAAACATTATTGCAAATCATTTCAGGGCTCTTTCCTTCAATATGTATTGGGCAGGGCATGCTTCACCAGCCCTTGCTGGGACGTTCAGTCAATCGAGGACAGCATGGTACGGGGTTGGACTTACTGATCTCCGTTGCTATCACTGTAATGTTGTGCCATAGCAATGTTTCTCGGTCAAGAAGTTTCGATGTAAAAACGGAACCATTTCCAGAATGAATGTTGAATATTCTGTCCAGATCTGTGTGTCGATCAACAGAATACCTGGAAATGCAGAATAGAATTTATGAAGGCTTTTTTCTTTGTATTCGTTATTCTCACATCCTAAAACTGTTCCCAGAAATCTGTTACATGAAATTTTTTTTCTAACAGTAGCATATATTTGAATATCTATAGCTTAACATTAAGCAAAATATTCTGAAAAATTAGTTGTTGACAACTGAAGTCTTAATAGTAAACCCACTAGATAAGCTGCATGGTTTTGAATATCACCACTGAAGTTTCTTTTTAAAAATATAATTTGGGCCAAGTTTGTATAGTAATTGTTATAACTCAAGTTTTTAGAACCTGAGAACTTTAATGTGTGTGTGTTTGTATGAATAATTGGGATTATTGGCTATTTGTTTAATATTTATTTTATTTTGAAAGTTATGTTAAAAGAAGCAAAAGACGGGTAGTGTGGCTGAGGTTAGTGAGGCAGGCAATGGGGTAGGGGATGCTTTAGGTTTTAAAGAAAAATAACTTCTTTTCTTTAAAAGTAAATACCAAAATGTATATATTTTTTCTTTAATTGGGAGATTTAAAAATTAATAGAAAACCTAAAATGTGTATATTGTTTAGAAAAGATGGCTGCATGCAAAACCTTATTTATTTGTTGTTGTTCTTTCCAAATATTTCCAGTTTATATCCAGGCCATTTACTATCCAGTCCCATTAATTCTAATTATAACCTGATGAGGAACAAGGTAATCAATCCCCCCATGATAGTAGCAGATCATTCTGCTAGGTAGTTCTTTTTTTCTTTCTTTCTAAAACTTTATTGCATTCTGTGATAATTCAATAATTTGTCTTCTAATGCATCTTCAAGTCTGGAAGATTTGAGGGGTAGGAAGGAAGTGTGCATGCATGTAACTTTTCACAATATGGATTCCACAGTGACATTTTATAAGGCTCTTTCATGGAAATAAAAGGTCATTTGTGATGGTTATTGGATGAAAATTATTTTATGTTATTGAAGAGTTAAAGATTTGTGCCTGCATAATGAGATATTAATGTTTGGGGGGAGGATTCTCTAGCAATAGTTGTAGACCTAACATATTGTCTAGCACCCAGCAGTTCAATATATATGGATGCACTTTCCTAATATAAGAATCAATTTTATGCTATAAAAGGAATCAATGGCATATGTACTTATATACCAATATATTTATGTGTATTTCTACCCTTAAATCTATATTTATACATCAAATCCTTATCTCTCAAGGGAGGGCTAGCAGAAGGAAACTTCAAAATTAGCTGTCAGCCAACCTAGTTTGACAATCTCCTTATTTTCACAAAAGATAATATAATGCAGTGAGTAAAAATGGTATTTGGTATAAAAAGAAAAATAGACATAAAAATTCAGCCTGACTTTCCAGAAGACATTATCTCTTCCAGTGAAAAACAAGTTGACCTTGTCAAGGAGGTAAGCGATGCTCGTATTTGTCAGCCTCAGTATTAGCACTTTTAAATTGGTCTCGACATTGACTTGCTAAGGTTTTTCCTCACACAGTTAGAACAAACTCCAAGTGAGAGAATAGTTGTTAAAGTACTTAAAATTATTTGTGTTATAAGGTGAAAGCCACCATTCATTTTCCTTATTAACAACCCTAATGTAAATGGAGTAGCACTCCGTCCATGGAGCTCTCATGTGGCTCCTTTGGGTTGACCACAGTCCAATTCAAGGAGTCTAGATATTCCAGTAGAACGATGAAACAACAGGACTCAAAATTATTCTCTGAAAGTAAGCCAGGCATTTTTGTGTTTTCGATTTGGGACTTGCCACAGGTTTCATGTAAACAAAGGGCTCAAAGGCAATAAAGTTAGAAAATGACTGCCTTAGAGTCTCAAACCCTTATCTGCAACAATATTTTTCCTGCACAGCCAGTGTGATCCTTTTAAAAAGTACTTTTTGGATTAGGTAACGCTTCAACTCAAAGCTCTCCAATGGCTTCTTACCTCAATCAGAATAAAATCCAGCCTTTACTAGGGCTCCAAACCCCTGTAGGACTCCACCAGCCATCCAACCTCCGGTGGCCCCATTCCTGTCACTCTCGGCTTCACTCACACTCTTCCCTCTTCATAGGCCTCCTTGCTATTTCTTCTACGAGGCCAGCATTCAGACCTTACACTTGCTTTTTTCTCTTCTTGGAATGTTCTTCCCCTAGATATCAGCATGGTTCATCCTTTCATTTCATTCAAATATTTACTCAAATTATTTCCTACAAAGGCCAAGCCTGATCACACTATCTAAAATAGTTTCCTGTATACCTGTTGTCTCCATACTGTCTTATTTTACTGCTCACAATTTAGTTTTACCTGACATACGACAATATTTAGCGGTTGCTTATTTCTGTTGCCCTAGTTACAATGTAAGCTCCATGAGATCTGGACTTGGTATCATTCTGTTTCCCTGATGCCTCGAACATGCCTGGCACATGGCAGGTGCCCTGACTAGGATTTATTCGGGGACGCACTGGCAAGACGTCCTCTAGCTTCTCAGTCTGCTTGCTTTCTTTATGGGGAATCATTTACACAGTGATATTCTGGCATAGCACTTTCCTCATGTAGTCAACTAAGCTACTGGGTAAAGGCTGGAGGTTGGTTTACTTCCACGCTTTCATGCTAAGGGTCCAGAATCCGGAAGCATCAATGTCTCAAAGAACAATGAGGCTTTTCTTGAAACATGGTTTACAACTAAGGTGTAAAGGAAGTACAGGGAAAATAGAGCTTACACAGTATAAATTGGACTCAGCTCTATTCATTTCCCCAGGATTTCACAGACATATATCATGAAATGGTTCTCATTCTTATCCACTTCTGCAGAAGAAAAAAAATTATGCATCCAAACAGAGCAGAATTCTGTCTCAAAGTGTTACACAATAGGTCTTCCACACTTGAAAAAACACTTTTACAATGCTTTCTCCACACTACTCTGTAGCAAATGTAAGATCTTAAAAAAAAAAAAAAATCCCAGGCCATTCGGGGGTGTTACCTTATACCACTTCAATGTAGGAGCTCCTTATAGCTCATTTTATGCCCCCCAATTTTGTTTTTAAAGTTATGCTGCTGATAAAATAATATTTATGTTGAGTAAGGAGATGAAAGGTGCTGTTTAGAATAGTTTTTCAAGAAGATACTACTGTCAACTTGGATAAAAAGGATTCATCTTTTCCAACTTGCAGACATAGTTGACTATAAATCCACTGAACCTTATGAAAGATGTATCTCATAAGTGCTCTTACCTGACAGGGTTCCGGGCAGCATCTGGGTCTTGGGCTGTGACCGAGCCTATTGCCGTGTTTATCTGAGCGTCTTCTCTTATTTGCAAGGTGTAGGCTAGTTTGCTAAAGACGGGTGGCTCATCTACATCTTCCACCATAATTCTCACCGTGGCTGAGTCTTTGAATGGACCCAGGTAGAGAAAGCGGGGTTCAACGTGAGGGTTGGAGGCTTCCACTTTGAGGGTGTACACTTTCTTCTTTTCAAAGTCCAGCAGCTTGGGTGGGAGGGAGAGGGAAAGGGACATATTTAAAGCAGCCAAGACACAGAAAGGCAAGATATGAACTATTTTTTGTGTGAAAATCACTGATGAATGAAGGGGATCATATTGCTTAGAGACGTCACCACACAGTGTGATGCTGGGCTAAGGCCATGGGAGTTCACAGGGCTCACAGTCCCGATGAGAGTGGGAGCAGGGTGCAAGGTGCCATGGTCAGGAAAGGGGACCTGGAAGCAGGAGCATGTTAGTCCCCCTTTAAAATAAATCCTTCTATGTGACTAGAGGGAGCCATACCAGGGACAATTTGGTGAATATGTGGTAGATTATTCTAGGTCAGGGGTTGTCACATCTGACTTTAACCAAACACCAAATGAGTGTTTAAAATTTGCCAATATCTGGGCCCCACCCTGGATCATTACACCGCAATGTCTGGGGTGTGGGGTGTGTGCGGAATGGGAATTTATACTATTACACATCTGCCCTAGTGATTCTAATGTGCAGCCAGAATTGAGAACCACAGGCTTGTATCACGATTCCCTATTCCTCATTCAGATAAAATAGGTTAAAAATGGTGGTGGTTTTTTTCTTTTTTCTTGTTGCATGAGGCGATAACATATTCCAAGTGTTATCTTGATAAGGGCATTGGGCTAATTACTTGCCAAAGAAAGTAATGATCAGTGTTGTCAGAGGTCTTTAGGAAAAGCCTCTCTGCTTCTGGAGACACAGTGAACCCGAATGCTTCTTGCTGACTTTTGGTTTTGGATAATAATATGACAAGGCTCACTAGGAACACAATTAATCAAGACGTTCGAGAATGTGATTTAGTCGGCTAGGCAAAATTTCAGTTTGAATCTGATAAGGCACCAGAAAAATTAAAAAGGTTAATGGACACTAATGGGCTTCCTAATTATATTATAGTGTACAACATTGGTCTGAGTGTCACTTAAACATGCTTTATTGTGTTTCCAGTTATTAAGACCCGTACTCCAAAGCTTAAGAAGAAAACATATTCTTGTTATTTACCTTTCCCTATACTTCATTATGCCTGCACATATAACAGTATGCTAAAGGAGAGAGAAGACATTGATGAAAGAGAAATCAGTAAAATAAATAACCAGAATTAATATTATTTTTAGCTTCAAAGCAAAAGGTTATGGGTTTTTATTTTTGTCACACTTCTGTATAGTACTCTGTAGTACTAGAAAAATGATGTGGGGATAAATGGTGAATACATAGGGGACAAACAGGAATTCAGAATATACAAGATTTATTATTGTGTTCCAGAGAGTAGCTAAAGAGCGCATAGGAAATTTGTGTTACTTAATTTACTTTTGTGGTCTTTATATCTCCTCTCAGTCTAATGAAGTTCATTGTTACCATTGCTTGTATTCCTTTTCTTCACAGCATGTGTCAGAAATCAGAGTCCTGCACGTTTTATTCATTTATTTGCTTCCTTGCCTCTTGTCTCCCTATACTAGAAGTTCCATGAGAGCAGAGACCAGCCTGTTAAACGGACCATTAAACCTTATGTATCTAGAACAGTGTCTGCCACTGTTTTTTCACATATTGGTTCATTTCTATTATTTATTTTAGATACTTTTTTGTGTATCATTTATTTAGATTATCTACTTCTTTAGGAGGCCCTTCATAAAATTTATTGAAAGTATAAGTGAATGAATCCATAAGATTATTGAGGACCCCTAAAGGCCAACCAAAGAGATCTCAGTGTACTTAGACTTGGTGTTTTAGAAAACTGATTAGTGAAAGGAAAATCCAGAGGAATGTTCATGTGAGATGCGATTGGCCCCAGTCACTTGGGGCGCAGAGAAACGTAAATGCATTCATTTGTAGGGAATTTACCCAATGGCATTACCTTTTTGACAGTGATAATCCCTTCCTGGGTGTCCTGGTCAGTGATGACATCAAACATGTCCAGCCCCTCCCCCTCGGTGATGCTGTACTGAATCGCAGCATTTTCTCCCACGTCGGCGTCGGTGGCTTTGATCCTGCCAATTGATGTACCCGGTGGAGAAGACTCAGGGGTGGTAAACTGGTATGTACCTATTAATCACCAGAAAAATATAAGTCAGACGCAGACTAAGTGTACGCTATCAGAATAAAAACGAACCCATTTCCCGACAGTTCTTTCAGGCATCACCGTGGGTGCAGGCTGATTGGTGCTTTTCTTAAAATAATGAATGGTGCCCTGTACCTCTCCATCTTTACTTTCATGATGGTTAAGAATATTTCTTTTGTTCCATCCCTGTCTCTTTGCAAATGGAGAACACTTTTGTCGTTCTGTAAATAGGCTCCCAAGTTTACGGTGTGATTGTGAGAAAGACTGAGCTGTTAGGGGTGGCTGCCCATTTCCAAGCCTCCTGTGAATGTAACCCAGCAGAAAGAGTAGAAAAGAATTTAACCTGAACTGCGACTCTAAGCCAATTACTAGGGCTAGGTTTTTTTTTTTTTGTTGTTGTTGTTGTTTTTTTGTTTTTTTAAGAGTTCTTGCTGTCATTGCTAATAATAACCGAAGGTGAAAGTAAATTATAGCAATTTAGAGAATGTATCCTAGCAGACATTTACTCAAACATGGAACTGGTCTAGTCGCAGTTAGGTATACAGATCAATACACTGAGAGAGAAAGCTCTTCATTTTTTTCTTTTGACTAAATTTTTCGTTTAAGTTTTGTTTATATTATTTTTTCTATGCATAGATTTTACCCATTCTTGAATTTATATTCCTAATTCAAAACCCATATTTCATAGACAGGCACTTTGTTTATGTTCTCATGTTGCAAAATTGGTTTAAGGAGACTCGATGTGAATTTCAGTATAGATCTGCTAGGCCAGCATGTACTAAGGCCCCCAAAGTCAAACAAATGTATTCTCTCATCCAATACATTTTGCCAAGCATTCATGCAAATTGTTTTGAAAAAGATGTTGGACTATGACACACCTAGAATATTGTCCTTGAATAATATTAATCCACTAAGTAATGGGCTCATCCTTGGTAAGATGATAACAGTCCACAGTTTTCTCTGGTGTATTCAACTTCCATTTGGGGTGCCTCCTACCCCTTTCTCTATTCTCTCCTCTCTTGCCTCTGTACAGTATTCACTAATGATCACAGGCTATCCAAGGAGAGAGGAGGATGACATAAGGTACTTGTGGCATCAAAGTGCCCATCAGCCCTTTTGTTATCCTTCCCCAGGGTATTTCCATATGGAAAAGGGGTTGTTGGGGTTAAGTTGTTGGTGATCCTGATTTTTTTAAAAAAAGTATTTTATTGATTATTTTTACAGAGAGGAAGAGAGAAGGATAGAGAGTTAGAAACATCAATGAGAGAGAAACATTGATCAGCTTCCTCCTGCACATCTCCTACTGGGGATGTGCCGGCAACCAAGGTACATGCCCTTGACTGGAATTGAACCTGGGACCTTTCAGTCTGCAGGCCGAGGCTCTCTCCACTCAACCAAACCTGTTAGGGTGATCCTGATATTTTTACTTCAGGCTTCTGGGGGATATTTTAGAATTCCTAAAATTTTTCTCTTACTCATTAAATCAGAAATTATTTAGCTACTCTGTTTTTGCATTTAGCTAACTGTGATTAATTAGTGGAGAAAAGTAAAGAAAACAGA